TGGTAGGTTAGTAGGGTGGATGAGTTTGTTGGTTGGTAGGTTAGTAGGGTGGTAGGTTAGTAGGATGGTAGGTTAATAGGGTGGACGAGTGGGTTGGTTGGTAGGTTAGTAGGATGGTAGGTTAGTAGGGTGGTAGGTTAGTAGGATGGTAGGTTAGTAGGTGGGTGAGTGGGTTGGTTGGTTAGTAGGATGGTAGGGTGGATGAGTGGGTTGGTAGGTTAGTAGGATGGTAGGGTGGATGAGTGGGTTGGTTGGTTAGTAGGATTGTTGGGTGGATGAGTGGGTTGGTTGGTTGGTTAGTAGGGTGGATGAGTGAGTTGGTAGGTTAGTAGGGTGGTAGGTTAGTGGGGTGGATGAGTGGGTTGGTAGGTTAGTAGGATGGTAGGGTGGATGAGTGGGTTGGTTGGTAACTTAGTAGGATGGTAGGTTAGTAGGTGGGTGAGTGGGTTGGTTGGTTGGTTGGTTGGTTGGTATGTTAGTGGATCAGTCGGTTGATGAGTAAGTAGGTTAAAGTGTTAGTTAGTTGGTTGGTTTGTTGGTGGGTTAGTTGGTACAATGTAACAGGGTTTCCCTCTTCGTAACTCGTTCTGTTCTTAGTACTGATATCTGGCTATTAAATGATATGTAGAAGACGTTTCCTGGTGTGAATGGTGCCTCAACCTGTCAGTGGTGTATATGTTGGTGTTCACCGCATCGTACTTACCACTATATATACCTCCTGACTGACTTAGAAAAGGACCAAGATTCTGAGTGAGACCTAAGACTGACATGATGTGAATTTTACCTGTCGCATTATTCCCCAATAAAATTACTATTTTACCTGAAAAACTCAAGAGTGGATAGGCTGAATATTTCATAAGCTCATACTAATATCATATTTCTTAATAACTTCTGACTTGTGCTCTGATAAAATGCAGGCTGTTTAGCTCATAATTGTTTGAAGTTGAGCGTCCAAACGCTTCAGCTGTTGAAAGGAAGAAGATTGGTACAACATTTACGAAGAAGAGAAATGTGGAATCTGGCCTAAAAATCCAAGGTTGGCACATTCTTTATTAATGAAATGACGTAATCTCGGCTTAATTCGATAAAAACATCAATACGTATAATGTTGGAATCATAAATGGTCAGATTACTGCAAGTAATATTTATAAAGGGAGATAACTCAACGCTACAATGCTATGACGTAACGTCCTTTGTTCCACATTTCCTTCACAACAGAGGCGGCTAGCTAAAGCAACGACACGAATTTTCGCAGGATAAAACAACAAATCAGTTTTGACTCGACAACTGAAAAAGTACGACATGGATAACAACAATAACAACCAGGTAAGGTGTACGTTATATATATGAATGTTTACATAAAGTTTAATAGTTAAACAAAATCGACGTAAATGATAAAACATAATTGTCTCGTAAAAATTCGCCTGAAGCACAACTTTTTCTTTATTTATTTCCGCTTTCATGTTGTAAAATTTCTGACTGATTATGCAGATTATGACAACATTGAATTATATAATGTTCACTTCGTTTTTGTTTTATATATCAGATTATTGGGGTAGATGGATGGCCGGACGATGTATATGGATTTCTTAGGGGGAAACGATCAAGTGGCTTGAACCTGTGGGTTACTTTCTTGTTGGAGAACAAGGTATTATTGTATATTCAGAAATTCTAAGAAAATCGTATATTGTTAAATTACCATGATAAGTTTCCAATGTTTTTAAATCTACAATCCGATGTCAATTCCGCTAATATTGTGGGTAAAAGTTAAAGGCTTCAAGCTATCGGTATATCTATAGATATGTTTTCATTTTCTATAAGTGATTTACATGTATTATTTAGATCAAGCGTAACGACGCAAATGTCAAAAAGCAGCAGATGTTGACCAGCAGTTTGGATCAGAATGAAGGGAATGAAGAAGAAGAAGATGTGGTATACCAGGAGGAAGTGGATGACAATCCCTACATTAGGTTGTATACCGACTGCGAATATTGGGGATTTGGAAATAACATGCCAGAGGCCTGGAGACGATAAATGCAGGTAAAATGATGCTCAAAATAGACCTATATATCTTGTTGAAAAATGAAAATTTTAATATTTCTTGTTACGATTTTATAATTATATACAGATGCGCGAAGGATGGTGTTCAAAAATAAACATTGATATATTTTTTCTCGTTTTATTGCAGTTCACGAAACCAAAGCGGGGTATCCACATCTGAGTACAAATACATGTACCCCTTTGCAGACGTGTAAGACACGTGCGGAGTCTTTGAACCCCAACGATCACAGAATAAAATTCGACAAATATGTATATTAATGAAATTTTAGAGAAAGACTTTAACTGTAAATTAAAGGAACATGTACTTGATTTGTTTCCTATTCCTTTCAAATAGGATCCATCATCCAAAGGGTGTTGAATAGGTCGGGAGTGTACAGGAACGATATATTATACTATAATGCATAGTGATACTTTTTCGGAGATTGTTAATTTTCGAGTTGGAAAGCTACATAGTAAGAAATTGTTCATTGTTTTCAGGAATTGTTAGTTTGTGCCGTTTACTGCACGAAAATTTTGTGATTTTTTTCTCTGTAAACAAATCTATATACTATAAAACTGTCTGACATACAACATAACATTCTAGTTTTTTCGCAAAAATTTTATTTCTCTTTCTTCGCCATTTTCTTTCTTCTCACCTTATATTTTGTTGTAAGAACTGTTAAGTTATTATATTATATAAATGTTTCTTTGTAAATAAATATATATGTTTACTTATGAATAAACTATTAAACATTATTATTTCTAAAGTAATTTGTTGTATCCCACAATCCCCTTGTTGTGCTTTGTGATCTGAAAACTTACAACACAGTACAAGTATGCCAGTATATCAGCATACATTCAATTCGATATCGCAGTTCGATTTCCTTTTTGGAAGAAAAAATATCTATTCAGGTATGACCCCACTACCCCCTCCCCATAGCCTGCAGTTCCTAACAAGCATACTGACATTCACCTTTGGTTGTTCAGCCTGACATTAAGTTTATGGCGCATGACGTAATCTAAATTCAACTGGGGCTTCAAAGGGGTACTTGAACAATTGTAATCAATTGTTTAAAAAATGACAATTTTAATAACAATAATACCAATATATAATAGTATAAGTATAACAGAAAAGCAAATGTTACGTGAAATATAAACAAACCTTAAAAATTACGCGGAAATAAAAAAAAAATCAAAATTTTGCAAAATCGTAGAGATATCAGCACTTTGGTACACTCCCTTTTAACACCCCTGAAATACAGTTTATATCAATGAAGTGTTTAGTGATATTCAAAGTTTCATTGGATTATTTTTTTTGCTTTTTATTTCTTTCATCATGAAAATGATATGATTTACGAGACATGCTTTTTATGTCAAATTCAATAAGGTTATTGTAAAAAGACACGGCTTCCTGACCCAAGAGACAACTCACTCAAATTTACTAAAATTTCATATACCGATTTTAAGGGTTTCAAATTAACCCAGAATAAGTCAGAATAGAAAATTAATGTAATTCTTCTTCAGACAAAAAACAACAATCGGTAGTGGGATAAACTTATTTGTCATGTAATAAGACTAAAAGGAACTATTCTTTTGTTTGTTGAAAAGAAAACGGCTGCTTGAACTAATTTGGTAGTGTATCATTTAATTCGTATGTCGTACCTGTTGGTGTAGCCTTTTGTATTAAAATCTTTTATGCATTCATAAAGCATTTACATATATTGACCTCATCTCTCGAAAAATTTTGTTTAAATAGAAAACTGCTAGACATACAAACGCAGTTATGATATACGATGTTGTCTTACTTTCTTACACTAATCTCTTCAGTTTTGAGGAGTTTACCCGCGAAAAATTAATATTCTATCGCCATTGGTACAACTCCAACACTTGTATGTATTATTTCTAGATATGTGCAAATCTATACTCAAAACGACAACAGCGAGGCTGACTGGGTTGACTGGATGCAGAGGCTGAATAAAAGCTTGGCCATGTAAAAGACAAACGCAATTTAGTGCTGTTTCAATCAGTGTCTTATTTTTTTAAATGTTGGTTTAAATGTTAGATTATTTATCAGTTGTTTGTAAGGATTGGTACATGTTTACGTGTACCTGGTGTGACACAACACGAATCGAGTTTATATTAAATCCCTGTTACGTTCGTATCCTATTGATAAATTGTAAACCTTGGGATGATACTGGAATGTAATTTAATTGACATGACAGTTTTGAATATGAACTCAAAAGTGATAGATATTCTAAATGTTCGTCATGTGAATCAAAACATCGGCCAGTTTACATAAATTCACACTTCTCACTTAGATTATGTATTTTCTAAGTTCCTTTCTGATTAAAAAAATAAAAATAAACAATTTTCTAATAAAATCGACAATCAAATTACACCTGAAAGTTTAAACAAATCTATATATTATGTAGATGCAGGTAAGGCTAAATATCTGAAATTTGCCTAGGAACGGAGACTCCTGAAAAAAAGTACAAGGATAATAAGACCAGTTGTTTCGGAATAGTAAGCGTCTTCTACTTCATCGACGACACCTGCCATGTAAATCTTGGTCAATCTAAGTAAGAAATGTTGCGTTCTCAGATGATGAAAGACAAAGATATAGGCATATATAATCATGTATCAGCTTCATATCACACAAAGACATACGTTATTTCTCAATGTGATCAGTACTATGCCGACGGAGAGTTATCTTTCTCTCATTACTCTCAAATCCCGGTAGGCTCTTTAAAGGAAATTCCGGATATACCTAACGGTTTTCGTTTTGTAATTTGTTTTCGGGTAATTTTACTTGTTATTAAAAATTGTGATAAGGGATTATTATTGCGGTTGAAATTAATTGACAGGTTGAGGAATTTTCAATTAAATGTTAATGATAAAACAGCCAAAATAAAAGTTAAAGTTGAATATTTCCGGTTCGCAGTCCCGCAGTAAAGAAGACTATGGCCGCGAGTGCGGGAACACAAATTTTGAAATACACTGTACACAAATGGTCGAGTTTCTCATACAACTATGTACCAGAGTAAGAATTTGATGCAATAAGCTGTTGTTGGAGATTTTGTCTTCCTACTACACAATGACACTAGGCTGAACGATATTCATATTGAAAGAAATTCCTTAATACATGTTAACTTTCACAAAAAAAGTCTTTCTGCGTCATTTTGACATTACACAAACCTGTCATTTACTAGTGGCCCGTTTCTTTAAATGTTATATATAGCTGTGAAAGTAATCGTTTTTATTCATGCCATGAAAGTAATTTTGTCTTCGCTATTTTCAGAAACGTGTATGTAGACAATCCCAGTGATCAGTCGTCACGGTGGTCATCCGATTCTAACCACCCTCCTCAGGTAAATCTGAAACATGAAAACATTAATCCACAACAACTCCTTTGCTGAAGAATGACAGACCGCTAAAGCAGACGTCAATCCCGTTAAAAAAATATATTAAACTCAAATCCATAATGTTACTAAAGTTCTCCAGGTCATGCATGGAAGTGTTAAATCTGACTACGAAATTGCATATTAGCATTAAACCTGTCGCATACTGTCCAGAGCAGTTACAATAAAGTGTCTTGTCTGAGGACACAACAATGTCAAAATGGTCTATTTCTCAGCTTCCTGAGAAACAGAAACCATCACAGGAAGGGAGCGTCAAGCCAAAAACTTCAGACCTTCACGTGATTTTACAATAGATTTAGGGCTTACTTAAGAAATATAAATAAATCAAGGTTTTACGTGATTTTACTTAGGACAATGTTTCAACTGTTTGAGCTATCACAGCCCCATTAGACAATAGATTTGTTTAAGTATCTCAAACTTTTCAGGTGTGCTTACTTAAGAAATATAAATAAATCAAGGTTTTAAATATTTTGCCATTTTACGTTAAAAAAGTATTATTTTCCTCAGCAAAACTGTGTTAATGTTATTTTCACAAAATTGAGGAAAATTCAGAGATGTTTTTCAAGTCTCTTGAAAAGTATTGCCATATGTACTCAATTTACTGGTTTGGAACAATCTTGGAAAGTCAAGGTTGTCTCAGTTTTGTAAAACTTGGTATCGTTTGATTGATTGTGCACTTTGAAACAACTATTGTTGGAATTTTGTATATTTGCACCTCTTTGAGTTGCTACAATATATATTTCTTAAAACAATTTCCATTTTGTTTTTCGTTCTCTTTTTTCAAATTAAATATTTATTTAAAAGTCGTATTTTTTACAGAAGGCTCATAATCCATGATAACCTTTGAAAGATAATTAACAAATGTTCTCCATTAGCATCAACCTAGTCAGTCTGAAGTAGGTTAATCAATTCATCACAAAGAAAGTTGTGACAATCAATATTTTGCTAGATGTTATTTTATCAGACATTGAGTGCACTCAGTTTTTTTACCTTTTTGATTGGTTATTATAAACAGATTTTGACAGGGTCTTGATCATTTTAATATACTATCTTTGTTACATTTAAAATTTTGAAGTCAAACAGAAATTTGCAATTAATGCTACATTTGTAATACTTTGTGTTTATATTTTCCTAGTTCTTGCTTTTAAAGCTAGAAAGACCTTCTGTTGTCAAGTCCATAACCTTTGGTAAATACGAAAAAACACATGTGTGCAATTTGAAGAAATTCAAAGTATTTGGTGGCCTGTCTGAAGATCATGTTGTGGAGCTTTTAGAAAGGTAAGTATCAAATGAGAGTTGTGTATATATGCAAAGTCATCAATTATGTGAAGCTGAACTTTAAAGTATTAAGATAAAAAGTTGACCAGTAATATGCTTAGATGGATGATCTTGCCCTACTTACAAAGTCAAAAGGGTCCCATGTTAAAACAACTAAGAAATTTTAGGGTTATAATATTTGACATTAAGTATCATGTTTGGATGAATCAGTTATAAATTATTTGAAGTTAATGACATAATTTTGAGGTAAAAAATTTCAAATGTGATAGAACAAACAAGAAGCTCTTACTTTACCATACTTTTGATCCCATTACATCAGATGATGAAATTTTCAAATTGCCCTGTGTCAGTGTTGTGAGTTGGCCATTATTGATCTTTAAACAAGTTTTGCTTTTGCTAGTTCTTGAGAAGTATTAGATGGGTATTACTCAAATTTGATGTATAGGTTTCCCTTGGTCCCTTGTGGTGCCTTTACAATTTTGGGACTGATCAGAAAATTAAGGTGCCATTTTGGATTTGGACTATGAAAATTTCTCTTGTTTCTTAAGGACTGGATGGATTTTTCTCAAATTTCATCAGTAGGTTTTCCTTTGTCCTTAGTTTTGCTCTTTTAATTTTGGGACTGATCACAAATAAAATGACTGCAAGGTGGCCATCTTGGGTTTTGACTGAAAGCTTATCACAATTTCTGCTCTGAAAGAGACTGGATAGGTCTTTCCTATATTTTACATGTATATTTCCCTTTTAAAGATACAAAATGGTTAAAGCTGTGGGCCAGGTCACCATCTTGGATTTTCACAAAGAAAATTTCTTAATAGTATTCTCAAATTTCATTAAATTAAGAACAAATAAGAGGAAAGAAGAGAAAGAAAAAACAAATGAAGATAGACAGTTGATGGGTGCCAAGATGTCTGTTGGGGATCTCTTGTTTGTCAATAGATTTTGCATTCTGACTGATGTCGTTTCAAATTTGTTCAAATGCAAACACTTGATATTATTATGTTACAGAGATCAGTGTCATGTATGTATGTAAAAAATCTCAACAACAGTAACATTTCAGTAACCAAGGAGCTCTGGTTCATGACCAGTACAATGCTGGAAAGGAAGGTTTGGAATTAAGTTGCATGAATTATGTCTTTCAACAAATGTTTCGATGTTCTGACCTGCTGGAACGATGAACCAGACAGGCCCATCAAACCTCTTGATTCAGAAAGACATTTATCTTTGCAGTGGCTTGAAGAATGATCATTTGTCGGAGCAGTTTGTGCTGAAATGTGAAATTGAAGAGCATTATTTTCCCTGTCGATATATCAAAATTGGTAATTATTTCATACATATTTGTCATGTACTGTAACTGCAAACAGAAATAAATCATTCACGAACCTTGTCATCAAGGGAGATAACTTTCAGCATAAATAACTTACTTGGAATTTTTTTCGTGTCATGAAATATAACATAAAAATGTTTCAAATTTTGTATTATTAAAGAAATGTCTGTTTCTTTTACAGTGCCAATACAAGCATGGGGCCCCAATTTCAACTTTAGTATCTGGTACATAGAGTTACGAGGCACAGACAAGTGGGATGTAGTAAAACCTTGTATAAACTGGTTTAATTCAGTAAGTGCAACATAAACTGTCACTGATATTGCTGATATCAGCTGTTTTATGTTCTAGTGAAACTTTGTAATGAACAAAAGGAACAGAGATTGTGCTGCATCCAAACGCGTTGTATTAATTGTGAGTTCATACCTTGGTTACTCCAGTGTTTATCACTGCTCCTTTATGCATTATACACTATATACCTTGGCATCCACTCGATAAATTGTTAATTTGATATTCATATCAAAAATCTATACTACAAAAACTAAAAATTTCATAGGTGTTAAAACTTTAACATACATTTCACATGCATCACATGTACTTAAAGCAAAAAAAGATAATGTGGGACAAGGAACAAGAAAAATGTAATTTACAGTTCCTTGACCTGAACTTTTGTGTCATCATGCACTGTATTGTAACTAAATAAACCCTTCGTAATCTGTTCTAAAGTTTTATATTGTTCTCGGCCCAATACCACTGCTAGTAGAAATCTCTTGTTTTGGAACTTGAGATTGTTTTGGTGAGTTTTACCAGGGATACATTTAACACAAATTATCTGATTACAAAAGTTCAAATTTAGCTTTATACCTCACATTTAAAGTTACAATTACATATGATATGAACATATGTAGCTTGTCAGTGATTTCCGTTTTGTATGTTTCAGTATAGAGAAAAGGAGGCCATTCGTTTGTGTCTGAAACATTTCCGACAGCGACAGTTTATTGAAGCTTACGATGCCTTACAGAAAAAGACAAAAGTGGAACTAGAACATCCTATACTGACAGAGCTCCATGACAAGTTGGTAAGGTTTAATGTGTAAAACAAGTTTTTGATCCATATCATTCTGACATTTGGTCAACTTTTTTTTTTTTTATATGGGCCTTGAGGCGATGAATGCCGGAACTCCCTCCCTACAAAAAGTCAAGGAAATAAGTGACCCATGTCTTGGTTGGCATTCAAACATTTATTGTGGAAAGAAAACCTCATTTTCACATGAATATTACATGTGGATAGAATGTCAGAATAATTTGGACTTGTGTTTTTGATAAATGGATTGTTTTTGGTAGTGTGATTAAGATTGTGGAAGATTGTGATATTTCATTTATAGAGCTGTATTAGCCAAGTAAATGATGAACTGTCATCAGATGGTGGGCTGTTCATTCACCCAGTGCTGTCAACTTATAAATCACCCAAGATCATTCAATGATGGGCACACCAATATCCCTCTGTGATATCTTGTCTTATACAGTGATTTGAATTGCCAGTTGGCAATCTTTGATTTTGACAACAAAAATTTCCCAGCTCTGTTTTTTAATGAGTATTGTGTGAATTTTTCTCTGATTTCATAAATCACTGATCAAATATAAAATGGCTGCAAGGTGGCCATCTTGAATTTTGACAGTGAAAGATTGTCATAACTATTTCTTGTCTGAGAGAGTCTGGATCTCGATAATTGATTAATAAAAAAAAGAGTTGAGATCCTTATTGTATGAATATACGAAAATGTTAAGTAGATATTGTAATGGTAAATGAATACATAATAAAATGATATATATATTGTATCCATAGGTGAAACAGGGAGACTTTGATGGGTGTGAGTCTTTAGTATGGCGAGCCTGTCAAGGTAAAAACTGAATACCTCTTGTTGCAGCTGTAAGTTACAATGTCTTGTGCCAAATCCATGCGAATTGTTTGCAAATAAAAATTTTTAAACTAAATAAAAGTAGTTGAATGTAAATACACTTTCATTTATCATAAAACATGGCTTTAATTTAGTTATTCATTATAGTATGTCCAACTATTTCCCTATAAGGAGAGTTACATTTCATTCAAACATAATTTCAGTTCATGAAATCTGACTTCTGTTTTTACAGAGAGACTGTTTGACCAGTACATAGGTTTACTGGACTATAAACCAAAATGGACGCCGATAGAGCCAATGACGAAGGGTAAGTCTGTGATGTCAAGGTTATATAATCACATGTATACTCACAGCGCAATGAAATTAATGGCTCACAGCCCCATATGTATTTCCAAGGCCACTTTTGTGTAACCTGGTAGAAACGGTTCCATGTGGTGAAGAACTATTCCCTGATAAATTAACATATCTGTAATGGATATTGGAATTTATATAATTTGTAAAGCTCAGAATGCAGTTTCTGAATTTCCCGTCAAACATAAAACAACGAACCAAAATATATACAATCATTTTGAAGTCTATAATATAGATAAATATCCTCCATTTTGACCTGACACATGGCTACAGGATTATATACGCCTGTATAGTTGTCTTTTATCATAATAAGTCTTTGTGGTTTGTTTTTCCTAGTTTTATCTGTTATTGAACATTTGATTAGTCAACAAGTCACTTAATATTTGAGGAAGAAAAAAAATTCTTTTGCCTTTAAGGCATACAGTTACAGTTGGATACTATGAAGAAATTTTTTGTTGAAATGCTGTGATAATGTTCTGATATACAAAAAGATCTCAGAAAAGATAGCAGTCTTAGTTTATGAGAAAACGATAGACATTGCCGTGTATAAAGTGAAACTTGATGTGATTGACCCTTGTCTCCTTACATTTTCATAGAAACTACCTCAGCAGCACCAATCCTAGACTCCTCGTTTTATAGACAAATAACTGTTAATCTGATTTGATATTGGAGAGATAAAAAAGTTAACTATGTCCAACTAGTGCTGTTCAGTGGAGTCATTGGTATTCTGATGTTAGGTGTTAAGGCTGATTTAAACAATGTTTTGTTCAATATTTATGAGACGTGAAAACAAACTTAAGGCTTGTTTAATGCATAGCTTGCTGATTAAATAAAAAACAAAATTTTGAACAAGGAAATGTTAATCTGCATTTTTTAGTAAAATATTAATCAATAGTAGATGAAAGAAGAAATAGATCATTGTATACGGGTATGAGGGGGAAATTATGATCTAGCGTTATGTGGCAATAGATCCTTTTAATTATGCAGATTCTGTAATAGAACGTCATTGTTGTTTTGTGTTTTGAAACAGTTGGGGAATTGATGACAGAAAACCGACCAGGAATGAGAGGTGGACACCAGATGTGTGTGGACATCCTTGCAGGTATACAAAATGCTATGGCATTCAAGGGAGATAATTTAACTTAACTGTAAAATCATTATAATACAAGTGATGAAAGATACATTTGATTGATAATCTCAAATAATAGACAAACTATTTGAAAATCTATCTCTCCTACCTTTTTATCTAAAAGTATTTTGACTACATTTAAAACCTCAGCCATCAAAGTTTCGGCTAAGAATGTCTCACTAAACTTATTTGTGAATTACTCTGCTTTGTATCTGCTACAGAGACTCTATATCTGTTTGGGGGATGGGATGGAAGTCAAGATTTGGCAGATCTGTGGGCATACAATATTCCCGCAAGGACATGGTCTTGCATCTGTAAAAGTACAGAGGAGGAGGTAGGTACTGCTGAAACCAAATTTCACCTCAAATGTCTTGTTTTACACTCACTTGTCTCAAAGTCCTAGTGTAGTTTATAAATCTTTCTTTGGCATAGACAGCCTGCTGAGAGTGAAACTTTAATCAGGCTTTAGTAACCTTGTCCTCTGCAATGTTATAGGGTGGTCCCTCAGCAAGGTCATGCCACAAGATGTGCCTTGATCATGAACGAAAACAGATATTTATTCTTGGGCGTTACCTAGACTCGTCGGTGCGCACGTCAGATAACCTAAAGGTAAGATCATTAATATAGATTTTATTTCAGTCATTGATATGTACATATATATAATGATTATATAAGAACAATTACATCTGAATTGGATTGGAATTCTTCAACTTATATAGATCTGTCTTCATTTCTGAAGCACAAGAATTAATGTTACATGACAACAAGTAGGAAAGTGAATATGTATATGTTTATGTGAAAAACAAAGAATAGAGACGAAAATATGGAGAGAAAATGAAAGGGTGATACTGAAGGAATAAGAAAGGAAAGTTGCCTTTGTCTAGTCATATGAGGACTTTAACAACTGTGTATTGGGCCAAAAAAGCATTCATTCAAATCTCTTGGAGCTAATAATGAAGTTTTGAACACATGTAAAAATAAACAAATTGTCATCATCTGTCAGCCCGTTGTCACCGAAGAGTAGTATTTTGGTTGAAATATGAGTATTAATGATACTAAAACAATATAAGTGAATCTCAGAAAGCATATTTATTCTCGGCATTACCAAGACTTGTCAGTGGGCACGTCAGACAATCTAAAGGTAAAATCATTGTTTGCTATGTGTATTTGGGAACTGCATGGGAATCGGTATTGATTTTTTCCTTCTCAATGGTGCTGTTGAATTAACACTATATAGCTTTTTGGAGAAAACAAATATCCATATCTTTTTGCTCAGTCTTCTTGAAAGCAGTATACTTTAACAAACGTGATTTAATTAAAAATCACCAGGTTAATGAAGGGTACCTGTACTTTTGAGTAGGTATGGTTAACATTTTTTGTTAATTTCAGAGTGATTTCTACATGTATGACATAGGGTCAGCCAAATGGACAATAATTACAGAGGATACTCATGCAATGGGAGGACCCAAATTAATCTTTGATCACCAGATGGTCATGGATATTGAGAGACGCACACTCTTTGTGTTCGGGGGTCGAGTGCTCACAAGGTTCAATTTCCTTCTAAACTTTTGTAAAGACAAATGATGATGTATTTGTAAAAATGGTTGTCAGAAGTCTTACAGTTTTTTTAATGACCCATATTCAAACTTCAAAATGTGCTTGTTCAAGTTTGAATACATACTCAAAATGACCCTTTATTAATTTGTATTTCATGTTGGAATAATATTTAATTCATGTTAGTTTATGCATTATTCTGACTCTGATTCAATTCTTATGTTGAAAAAATGTCAGTTAAGCACTAATCTGACTGAGTTAATTTCTATCTGGCATTAAACTAATATTAGTTATTTCAAACATTATTGTGACTCTGACTTTAATATCTAATCAATGTTGAAATCATGTTAGTTTAAGCATTTTTGTAACCCTGATGCTAAACTTCATAACTGTTTTCATGTTTGACTGATTTTTTCATTGACATGATGTTGGGCCATAATTTGTCCCTGATATGATAACATTTTCAGTGTTGCTGAAGGAGGCGAGCGGAGTAGTGAGTCGGAGTTTAGTGGATTATATGCATACCACGTTCCCACTAACACCTGGAAACAAGTGATGACAGATTGTACGGAGCTCCGTTCACGTATTGGACACTCAATGCTTTTTCATCCTGTGAGTTTTCTTTTTTCATGTAAGGTTATATTTGTAAATTTTGAGAGCCTAAACAAATTGATAAAACAAATATCACTATTGGTTAGTTATGAATGAAATTGTACATGTTATATGGTCTGTTTCAGTCAGTCACTGGATCTAAACTTAATGACCATCAGTATATTAATTAGTGTCTGTTTCAGTCAGTCACTGGATCTAAACTTAGTGACCATCAGTATATTAATTAGTGTCTGTTTCAGTCAGTCACTGGATCTAAACTTAGTGACTATCAGTGTATTAATTAGTGTCTGTTTCAGTCAGTCACTGGATCTAAACTTAGTGACCATCAGTATATTAATTAGTGTGTGTTTCAGTCAGTCACTGGATCTAAACTTAGTGACCATCAGTTTATTAATTATTGTGTGTTTCAGTCAGTCGCTGGATCTAAACTTAGTGACCATCAGTGTATTAATTAGTGTCTGTTTCAGTCAGTCACTGGATCTAAACTTAGTGACCATCAGTTTATTAATTAGTGTCTGTTTCAGTCAGTCACTGGATCTAAACTTAGTGACCATCAGTATATTAATTAGCATCTGTTGCAGATATTTACCTGAACTCTATCTAAATGTACTTTTTTCTTTAATTGTGTTTATGAAAGATAAATTTGTCCAGATTTAGGCCTACTGTATAATATATAGAGTTACAACCCTTTATTAACTTTTATGCTCCCCGAAGTAAGAGCATATATTTGCTGCTTTGTCTGTCTATCCATCATAATTTTGTCTGAAGTACAACACAAAAACAGTAAGTGGTATCAACATGAAACTTCATAGGTAGATAGATCTCGATAAGGAATAGTGCAGTGTACAAGAACCACAACTCTCTTTTGCATAATTTTGGAGTTTTTGAAACTTGGTATATACATTGATCATATTAAAAGAATGTGCAGTATCTTAAATTCAGTGCCTTCAACAACTTAATTACAGAATTATTGCCCTTTGATTAAATTTTGTGTCCAATGCAGTTTTTTTCGGGGAGCATTCATCAGTTTCACTGATACTCTTGTTTTGTGTAGAAGTTTTGTTGAATTTAGGAAAATATTGCTTACTTGTAATACTCAGGTTTATTCAAGACTGTAACTATAACTTAGTTCTATTTTGTTTCATTTCCAGAAAAGGAGAGTGTTGTATGTGTTCGCTGGTCAGAGGGCAAAGGAATACCTAAATGACTTTTTCTCATATAATGTTGATACAGGACAGATTGAGATCATAGCAGATGGAAGTAAGAAGGAGGCTAACTCTTTAGGGGGTATGCTTACTTATCCTAACCCCCTCAATAATCTCTGGGATGAAATGTCTGCTCATTATCATCCTGTGCTGAAAGAGTTCATCAAAAAAAGTGGTGAGATGCAGCAACATTGTTGCTTGATGATCAGTTGGTATTTGGAGGTTGTTGTTTGCTTAACAAATGTTTTGACTTATCTCCACCTTTGAAATTGGAGTTACAAATTTATTTTTTAACATTCTTCATCGGTTTAAAATCTTTATACTCTTTATATTTTTATAAGACATCCTACAGTTGTAGATGCGGTCTTGCTTTGCATGATATCTCCTGTTTTGGTGTCACAAAAAGTAGTTGGACAATAAAAATGGGGCAAAGCCACAATTGGCGGGATTGCGGGATGAGTACAATATTAGATGGTATTCATAAGACAGTTAAGGGTGTTTCATTTGTAGAGTATGTAGAATATTTGTTATAAGAGAGAAAGTTTGGTTTTATCTTATGAATTGGTGCAGAAGAAGGGCATTTGAAGAAAGAAGTTGCAGCCATTTTTGATGCAGAGATGTTCAAAAAGTAGAAAATGGACATCTAGGGCCCCAAGGTGATTTACATGTGGAACTTCAGAAAATCACTAAGTTCCAAAGCTCGGAAAATCAAAAAAAAAAAAATGTCCAGAATGAATCCATAATAATAGGTGCACATCTTCAACATATAAACATCCTACAAAGTTTCAAGCTTCTACGTCAAAAACTCTAGGAGGAGTTGATTCTACAAAACTGGTACCCTATTTCCCCAACCGACCCGTAATTAAATTTGTGAGTTGTTTGATGGTGTCTGCTTACATTTGCCAGTGTTTTCATTGGTTCATAGGTCAATTTTGGTTGTTACAAATTGAAAATAGATTTAAATTTTTTTTAAAATTGTCAAAGACATACATTTACTGGTACAGGTGTGAACACAAACACACTTTCACAGTATGAATTGCGATTTAGATATATATAAAACAATTTTTTGGGAATGCTGATAGCAATATCGTTAGATCTGTGATATTTTGAACAAAGAATTAGGATTATATGCATGGTTGAATTTAAATGTCAATAGTTAAATTGTTAATGTTAAAGTTTTCTTGCTCTTTAACACAAGGTCTCCTCCACCCATAAATAAGAATTTCCTCATGTCTAAAAGCTATCTGTTGCACTGTAAAATCTCTAAGACCTGTCACTAACACTTTGATTATATTGAAATATCTTACTTATGTTTGCATGCTTCCTCCAGACTAGTGAATAGCATTGCCCTTGAAAAGACAATTCACTCTTTTATTCCTATATGTTACTTGTTATATACAGTGTTGAGTTACATGTTACTTTATAGCTTCAAAATGTCAGTTATGTTTTCCTTGTGTTCGACTTTACTGGAAAATTTTATCAATTATCATTTAAAAAGTTTTCAAAATCCATTCTGATGAAAAGGATGTTGTATTCCTGTAAATAGTCGCTTTTAATTGATATAAAATACAGCTCATTACCTTACAAGTAAGCATTTTTCAAAACTTGTTTGATTACATTGTAATGAGATATAGGCCATGTGTTTTAATGTATGCATCTATACTTGTGAAATGGGCCGATAATTGTTATTCTACAACAGTAATGAACTCGGAGAACATTCACTTGTAGTGCCTCTGCATTTATTTATGTGAAATGATGTGATTTTTGTGTTTTGGTTTGACAGCGATACCAGCGGCTGGATTTACGCAACGTGCCACGATTGACCCAGACTCAGATGAAATACATGTACTTTCAGTGAGTATGGTTAAGGGATAGATTGTCACACAAATTATTCAACATTTGCAGATTACATTTAATTGTTCTTACTGCTAAACCTTGAGATTGTTTGGAGAAAAATATTATAATATCAATTGTACCTTTGTTTACCTCCAATAATTACATTGATGTTTTGATTATTTACAGGGACTTAGTAAAGACAAGGACAAACGAGACAATGTTAAAAACTCCTTCTGGGTGTATGATATTGGTAAAAATAAATGGTAAGGATTTAGTGTGGAACATTCATTAAGATACGAGTTTATCTTTATGTGCTTGAAGCTGTTGCTTGGATGCAAATCCACTAAGAATAAAGTTTGGTATTATTACAATGATATAGGAATAATTTATCAGAAAAATGAAATTAATAGGTGTAATTTATCAGGGAATCGTAATTAGTAGGTGTAATTGATCAGGGAATCGTAATTAATAGGTGTAATTGATCAGGGAATCGTAATTAATATGTGTAATTTATCAGGGAATCGTAATTAATATGTAGTTTATGGAATTGTAATTAATATGTGTAATTTATCAGGGAATCGTAATTAGTAGGTGTAATTGATCAGGGAATCGTAATTAATAGGTGTAATTGATCAGGGAATCGTAATTAATATGTGTAATTTATCAGGGAATCGTAATTAATAGGTGTAATTGATCAGGGAATCGTAATTAGTAGGTGTAATTGATCACGGAAATGTAATCAGTAGGTGTAATTTTTCAGGGAATCGTAATTAATAGGTGTAATTGATCAGGGAATCGTAATTAATAGGTGTAATTGATCAGGGAATCGTAATTAATATGTGTAATTTATCAGGAAATGTAATTATAGGTGTAATTGATCAGGGAATCGTAATTAGTAGGTGTAATTGATCAGGGAATCATAATTAATAGGTGTAGTTTATCAGGGAATTGTAATTAATATGTGTAATTTATCACGGAAATGTAATTAGTAGGTGTAATTGATCAGGGAATCGTAATTAGTAGGTGTAATTGATCAGGGAATCGTAATTAATAGATGTAGTTTATCAGGGAATCATAATTAATATGTGTAATTTATCAGGGAAATGTAATTAGTAGGTGTAATTGATCAGGGAATCGTAATTAGTAGGTGTAATTGATCAGGGAATCGTAATTAGTAGGTGTAATTGATCACGGAAATGTAATTAGTAGGTGTAATTGATCAGGGAATCGTAATTAGTAGGTGTAATTGATCAGGGAATCGTAATTAATAGATGTAGTTTATCAGGGAATTGTAATTAATATGTGTAATTTATCACGGAAATGTAATTAGTAGGTGTAATTGATCAGGGAATTGTAATTAGTAGGTGTAATTGATCAGGGAATTGTAATTAATATGTGTAATTTATCACGGAAATGTAATCAGTAGGTGTAATTGATCAGGGAATCGTAATTAATAGATTTAGTTTATCAGGGAATCGTAATTAATATGTGTAATTTATCACGGAAATGTAATCAGTAGGTGTGTAATTAAACAGCATCTATGCTCATCACTTGACTAACCTAAAACTCACAAAATATCTTCACTTAAAATCCCAACAATACACCTCTACCTCCTCAAAAGGAATTCAATTTACTTTGAAATTATATTGTGAACTATTTAATGTCATTATTGTGGGAAATAGATGTACACCTGTAAAAGATCACCAAATTAAAAAGAAAAAAATATAACATATTTTATCTGTGAGAATTCTGAACTGTTTTATGCACATATTGATATGCCTTTTGCCAACTAGAAAGAAAATGATAGGCCTATCTTCAACTGTTGCCTCCCATTGTTTCTGAAAATGAGGTTTAAGTCAGGCATCACCACATTAAACAATATATTCTTCTTGAATTATATTTTGAGTTAAACTAGACAAAATAGAAGCTTTTAAAAGTAAACAACTTTTTTTTCTGAACTGTAGTTGGTTTGAGGAAAGAACCAGATGTTTCTAAGCTTTTGTTACTCTGAAGAAGTCTAGGTCAGTCAGAAGACTTTAAGAGAAAGAAACAGAAATTTCTATGCTGTAGTTGCTCTGAAGAAATCTAGGCCTAGATTTTAAGAGTGAAAGAAACAGATGCTTCTAAGGTTTGGTTGCTCAAGGAAATTTATGTTTGATAATTAATGGAAGTTTTTATGAATTGCAGGTCCTGTGTTTACAAGAATGAGAATTCTGGACAACAGTACTGGACAAAGATGCAGCACGTTGAACCAGTGCCACGGTTTGCTCACCAGTTAGTCTATGATCATGTTCACAAGGTAGTTATCAGTACAATCACTACTGTATAACAATAAACAGAAATATCACAAGTCTTAATAGGGATCTGTTGAACCTTCTGATAGGATGTTTGATGTAGAGATTTTTTAAAAGGATTTCTTCGACAGTAAAGTCTGTGATCATTATATACCTTATTTATCTAGCTTTTAGCCAAAGAACTTGACTCTTGTCCATTGCATGTCGGTAAAGTCCTATCTTATCTTCCTACGATATGTTCTACCCTTGGTTAAGTGACCTCAAACACAAGCTTATAGATGTGTGACCTGTTTTACAACAATAAAAAAGCTTTTATGAGGATCAATTTTAGTTGACAAGGAAAATTCAACCTGTGATTCAGATTATGAAAAAAATTGTTAATTGCAAATGAATTCTGGGTGCAAATATGTGAATTATAACGCTAGCAGAGTTTAATTAATGGGGTATATGATTAGTGTTAAGTACACTGACAACAGGGTAGTTATGTGATGGATGTTATTACACTAGAAGTAAGGGAATTGTGTAATTAAAATGTAATCTAGGTACATTACTATATGTTGTAGGTACACTACTTGTTTGGTGGGAACCCTGGAAAGGAAAGCTTACCTAAAATGAGATTGGACGATTTCTGGGCATTAAAGGTATGTTCTATCTGATGATAACCTGTATCACTGTAGTATTTTTCTGTTTTGTAGCTGCCTTCAAATTTTTATATCCCGAACCTTTTTTTCAGACTGTAATGTGCAGTTTTTATAAGGCGTCATGTAAGTGTGACCCATGTTCCCCCCCCCCCCCCCCCCCCAACAGGTCAACGAGACCGCAAATCAGGATTTTAAAATTTGAATAATGCTTAATCCACAAAATAATTCTAAAATTTCTTGAGATATGTGTTTTTATATAATATCTTTTTGTTTCAGCTATGCCGACCTACTGCTGAAAATTTATTACGGCGATGCAAATATCTGATCCGGAAGTTTAAATTCCAAGAAATGTCAGGATCTGATTCCAGAGCTGCAATGTTATATCTTCAAGCCAGTTTAGCTGAAATCGTAGATCACAACAACCCAGAGGAACGCAGTGAGGTAGATTTATAGCATAGAAAAATTTCTGTGAGATGCTCAATCTGAAAGAAAAAGAGCAGTCTTATATGTAGGAGTTAATGTGTCTCTCAGTAGACCAGTAGCCCATCTAATTTTCAATCTGATACAAGAAACAACATATGGCTGGCAGGATGCCTTCTTGGAATTGAATAGTAATAGTTTGTTATTGTCATTTGTGAAGAAGTACTTGATGAATCTTTCTCAAATTCATATGTAGGCTTTCTTTGGTCTCTGGTTGTGCATTGATTGGTAAAACAACAAGGCTGACAGGCAGCCATCATGGATTTTGATGGTAATAGTTTGTTATCATTATTTCTGGAGAAGTACTCCATGGATCATTTTCAAGTTTCATGGTTGATTTCCCTTGGTTCCTAGTTGTGGCCTTTTGAGTTAGTGACTGATCAGAAAATAAAATGGGTGACAGCCGGCCATCTTTAGGGACTGATCAGAAAAATAAAATGGGTGACAGCCGGCCATCTTTAGGGACTGATCAGAAAAATAAAATGGGTGACAGCCGGCCATCTTGGATTGACTATGAATGCTTGTTATATTTCATTGGAAGACCTGGATGGATCTATCTCAAATTTCATATTCCCTATTAGTGCCCTTTCAATTTTGAGTCTGCTGGAAAAAACGAAATGGCAGACAGGTGGCCATATTGAATTTTGACCCTAGTTGTCCATTAGTCCATTTTCGGACCATTGAAAAAACATCATGGCCGACAGGTTGCCGTCTTCAATTTTGATAGTAATAATTTGTTTTCACTATGCTTTCTCTAGATCATTCTGAAATTTTACAAGTAAAATCCACTTGGTACCTAGTCATGCCCTTTCAATTTTGATTTTGCTAGAAAAAATATAATGGTTGACAGGTGGCCATCTTGGATTTTGGCAATGAAAGTTATCCCTTTTTCTTAGGAAGTACTGGATGAATCTGTCTGAAATTTTATAGGAAAATTTCCCTTGGTCACATGTTATTCACTTTTGATTTTGTGACTGTTAGAAAAAACAAAATACTGACAGTCTCCATGTAACAAATCAAGATTATCATTGTTATGTCTGCAGAGGATTTTTCAAATTTTATATCGTTGATAGGAAATAAGTGGAAAGAAGAGAAAAGATGGGAAAATATCCAACTTTTAAAGAACAAATTATTATGAAACAGTTGTGGGTGCCAAGCTCTCGCTGGGATTTTATGTGAAGTGCATGGAGTTTAATAATCGTCTTCTCTTTTTCACCTTAGTTTCAATTACTGGCATCAACATTGTTCAAGACAGAAGAGGAAGAGGATGTTTTCAATGGTAAGTCAGGTTTTTCATATCTTCTGAAGAATTGTGATGAGAATATCTGTAGTTATTTTCTGTTATCTTGGGAAAATGTTCCATTCAGTTGGGTAATGCAATCATATTCCAAAACTGGTGTAACTCCACTGTAAACTTGATACCTGTTTGACTACTAGTGTGGAAAAACTTCCAGTAAACATTCATGTTGGCCCTGTTGGAAGCAGCACATGGGTTGTCTTGCTACTGGAGGAAACAAGAGAATGTCAGAAGCAAACCTTTGGGTGAGGCAGGTCCTCCTGTAACCTGTACATTGTTCTGTAGGATCTGACAACAAAACAGACAGGCTACATACTGGTGATAATTAGCTTCAGTCAGTGGTTGTGATCTACCTGAATTGCCTATAGAGATCTAGATATTGAAGGATTTTACTAGAACAGGATTCTAAACAAACAAGTGTATTGTACTTGATTAAAATAGATAAGATTTTGAGTAAAATATTTTCAAATTTTATGAAACTATTTGGAGTGTTTTAATTTTGAAACTTCTTTATTAATTTCATTTCACAGAGATAGCTGGTGTGGACACCAGTGAACATTATCAATCAAGAACAGAACTTTTTGACAAGTTGGTGTCGTTTTTCCCAGAACAGATGACCCAACCCAAAGGCAACCTTGTGGACCTTATCCCAATGATGTGATTACAGAATTGTTTACCGTCTTGTGTGGAGTTTGAGCCAAATGTTAAAGAGAGTTAATCTGATATAAGCATTGATATTTCAAAAGTATCGTCCTTAATGTGATTGGTTAAATCTTTTAATGATGTGATTTATTAACTCTTTCCATGTGTACCTGAAAACTGTTAAGACATTGTTGCTAACAAATATTATGACATTGTTGCTGACAAATGTTAAGACATTGTTGCTGACAAATGTTATGACATTGTTGCTGACAAATGTTAAGACATTGTTGCTGACAACTGTTAAGACATTGTTGCTAACAAATATTGTGACATTGTTGCTGACAAATGTTAAGACATTGTTGAGGACAACTGTTAAGACATTGTTGCTGACAAATGTTAAGACATTGTTGATGACAACTGTTAAGATGTTGTTGCTGACAGCTTTTATGACATTGTTGCTGACAACAACTGTTGATGAAAATTGTTTTGACAATGCAAACAAGTGTAAAATTTTGTTAATCTTACAAGCATTCATGAGAGCAACATTTTTTTAGAATGATAAAAAATCTAGATTGGCAGTATTCCTAATCCATACTTGTTGCTTTGGTATATGACAAAAATTGTTATGATATCTGTAAGAATATAAGACAAGTTTCTATTCAAATGATCTATGTTGGCTGCATATTGTTAACAGTAATAGCTGAGAGAAGTTCAGAGCCGAAACCGGTCACTGAAGCGATTTCAAAGGTTGATGTTTATTTCACTCTGAACACATATCATTCAAATATTGAAGCAAGCAATGAAGATTTTCACTCATCAAAAAAGAGGAGGTTTAATTCTGGTACCTTTCTAAATGATGTAATATGAGAATCTGTACAAGGTAGGTTAACGAAATACTGTTTAGAATGAATGCCACCTACAAAAAGTTTTATTATCACATACTGGATGTTAATTCCTGAAACCTACAGTATTATTGAAATATTATAACAGAGTTGAAAATTTCATTTAAGGGTGTATGTGATGCGAGAGTAGTGTTACCTCATGCCTATTGTTTAATGAGTATTCCATTAAGAGTCTATGTTGTGCGAGTGTAGTATTTCATTATTTCTGTTGCTTACTGAATAACTAGTAAATTAACTTCAATTAGGCATTGTTTGAAATTATCTGTAAAAAGGCCAGGCATTTCAGTAGAGATGCGAAAAGTTTTTTTTTGAGTGTTCTGCAGATGAGAAGATTGTTTTTGTATATATTACAAAGAAAAGACAGTTATGTGAGATTTTTTTTTTTTTTTTTTTTAGAAAACATTAATGATTATAAATGGTTGTTAAAGAAACGTTGTTCACTGCATAAATATATTTTGAGATTTTATGTCAGAAAGGTTACCGTAAATTTCCGCGTATAGTGCACACTTTTTCAAGCTAAAACTGTCGTGTCAAAAAGGGTGTGCGCATTATACGCAGGAACATGCCATTCTTGGGGTTATTATTTCCGAGTTCTGCGTCCGCCATATTGGATTACCACCCTTCACATAGTTATATGTAAAAGTCATCGGTCTTATATGATAGTTTGGAGATAAAAACAACAGCAACAAAACAAGTAAAATAAAATAAATTTTGAATGTTTTAATCAACGGCCATTCACGCTAGCATTACGGTGAATCTAATTTTTTTTTTCGTTTCGTTTCGTTGAATAGTGAATTTCTGCCTCATTTTGATATACATGGCCTGCACGCGCAGTTCTGTTGTACTGGCAGCGATACCGGCATCTCTGTGATCGCATACAAAGTTGAACAGCTCTCACTCCATCTCTGGGTGTTCTGCTGTCGCATCTATGTCAGCCCTTCTGGTCAGTGGTTGGGACTTTAGACGTTTTTTTTTTTCTTTCGTGCCTTGATATTTCACTCTGGAATGTCGAAGTGGCGACTGGCGGCACGAAACTCAAGTCTCTCGGTGTAGTCCATGGTGTTCGCTGTTTCCCCATGTCGAAGTCGGTGTAAACAATCTATAACTAAGTACCTTCGGATACCGCGGTAGGTACAGATATGGGGACAAGGTATGATTGAAACTTTTCAGACAGTTAAAACAACATCGTTTTCTGAGCAATAGTACACGTTCAGCCGAAGCCGGGTGTCATCAATCTCCTCATACTCAACGTGTTTGTTACCTGTTAAGAACCGTTAATTATCCAATTAGCCAAGCCTTTCATGCTTGTTAAGTCAGGTACCTGTGTGAATTTGTTTACATAAGGTAATTAAATATGTTAGGGTCACGATGACTGTGGTTTCCTCATTATCAATGGATCAAACCACATCAACTGTTTCATCGCGGTACCAGTAATCAATTAATCTTTCTGTAGAAAATCTTTTGTTTTGTGGAGGGGGTTCTGACCCCAAAAAAGTACCTGCGCACTATACCCGAGTGCGCACTATACCCGAGTGCGCACTATACCCACAAATTTACAGTATTTAACCAAAATGTTTTCTGACCTTAGTTTTGGTTTCTCTTAGCAATAACAAAGTTGACACTTATACCGAAGAAGTTGTGCTGATACAAGATACAAATTTTTCTTTTTTTTCTTCCTTGAGATACAATTTACTTTTCACAGTCGGCAACACAAGCCTTTAAACTTTGACAAAAATAGCATGGCCTAAAATAGAAAATAAATCACAGCAATAGATCGGAGCTTCTTATTGGTTATGGAGCACCTATTCAGTTTTTGCAAAGTATATGTGGAGGTCAGACAAGTTGCTCTTATAATTTTTAGGTCGCCTGAGCCAAAGGCTCATGGTGACCTATTGCCATCATGATTTGTCTGTCGTCGTGCGACGTTAACTTTTCACATATTTGACTTCTTCTCAAGAACCACTGTTTGGATTTTGACCAAACTTGGCACAAAGCATCCCCATGGGAAGCCGCTTCAAGTTTGCGAAGAAAAAGGGTACGGCCCCAAAAGGGGCCCCAGGAGGGGGGAAAAGGGGGTAAAATTAGGTAAATCTTTAAAAATCTTCTTCTCATGAACCAACAGTCAGATTAAGTTCCTACTTGATATTTAGGGTCCTTATGGCATGGTCTACAAAGTTTGCGAATGAAAAAAAATCGGGTCTAAAACGGCCCCACTAGGGGGCACTCAAAAGGGTCAAAAAGTCAACTTTGACCAATTTCAACCAAATGTGGTAGAAAGCATTCCTTAGTGAAGGACATATGAAATTATGTTGAAAAAAGTGATAATGTCCCATTTGGTGCCCATAAGGGGTGTAAAAGGGGCCATATGTAAAAACTTCTTTAAATGACTTCTTCTCAAGAACCATTGGATGGATTTTGACCAAACTTGGCACAAAGCATCCCAATGGAAAGCTTCTTCAAGTTTGCGAAGAGAAAGAGTGTGGCCCCAATGGGGGCCCCAGGAGGGGGGGAAGGGGAAACTTGATACGAATGTTCTACACAAGGTCCTGGCAAGTGTTTTAACTTTTTGGGGCGATTCAAAATCCAAGATGGCCACCCTGGCCTCTGTTTGGCTAAGACATTATGGACTTCCTCTCAAGAACCATTGGGTGGGTCATGTTCTAACTTTGTATAGATGTTTTACACATGGTCCTGCACAAGTGTTGTTACATTTTTGCAACATTTTAAAATCCCCAGATTATTGACAAATATTCCTCAGGTGACCGTTCAGGCCCCTTGGGCCTCTTGTTGTTGATATGTGGCTTAATTGGGAAATATACTTTGCTGTACTCTTATCTAAACCCAGCTTATCTGTGCAATAGAACCACACATATTTAAAAAAAAACAAACCCTGTACCACACTTATCTATATCAGTCATTTCTAAATTTATATGAATCAGGATAGAATAGCACATCTGCTTGATACAGCCAAACATAGTGCACTTGGATGTGCAATAGCAAATTTCATCCAGATACATCGTGCACACATTGCTTATCATGCAATAATATTTTACAATCCCACAACTGTGCTTATGGTTACATATGCTCACTTAATGGAAAACAAGCTTTACATACTAAGTTATTTCATAACATAACTCATTTGTTTAGTAAATTATTTTCATTTCGTTATTTATTTTATTTTTTGAAAAAATTATTTGCACAGATGTAATATACATTGAAATTAAATGCCATGGTAAGATTAGCTGTTGTACAGCTAAGATAAAATGATATTATAAATCTGTACCTTGCTGTTTTGTGAAAATCAGCTTAGAGATATTTTTTATTGATGCGGGCTTTACCTCCATGCGTAAATATTCAAAATTGATTTCAAAATATAGAATTTAATTCCAGAATAATAAAGATAACTGAAAATAATTTTTTTTCTCATTGATTGATGTAATAGTTGTTAAAATAACTGGAACATCTAAAGATGATGAAATGTAGACCGGTATTTAGGTGGAAAGTAAATGAAAAATCTCATTGCCAAATATATAGGCTGTTCTATATAGAATTGTGTCTGATGATTGGTCTGTAGTATTTACTGGTTAATGGATGTGATGTACCTTTGGTATATATTTAGTCACCTGTGTTAAAGCTGTGTCTTGACAAGTTTTCAGAGTTTATTCTGAGGTGAATATTTGCATGTACTTCAATCATTGATAGTAGATATGATCTATGTTTAAAGAAGAATTTTTAAACTCTTCAGGTATTGGTTTTGATATCACATTGGTTGTGTGTGTATGTACTTGTGACTACATGATCGATAAAAAATAGAATAAATTTCCATATTTTTAGGCATTCAGCGGAGCATTCTTTACTTTAACATAATAAGTAAGCTTTATTTTGCATAAGAAAAAGCACAGTGTGAATCAGACTATGGTAATTGGAGTTAATCCCCTTCGTTGTCCTAGAAGGCAGCACCAGTGATTTGGGCAGATGGGCAATCAGTTTTGATGCTTCGTCACCTTGGGGACTTCAAAGTACAGTAATACTTTGTATCACGTGATGTTATGTCATATAAAATTGTATATGTTTTCTCTCTTTTAAATTTGTGGACATTGAAATTCATGGATTAAGAGTAACCATCAATTTAAGGGAAACAAAAACCCACAAAAAGTAATGACAGTTTTCTGTTTACCAGGTATAAAGTGTTGGTAACCACATAGTAAGGTGTGGTATCTGTCGCCAAAATCATCCTTAAACTGTTCATTTTAAAATTGAAGACCCCAGAAATCAAACAGAATTGTTTACTGGCAAGTACAGCTTAAGAAGACTTAAGATTTGATTGGTCAGTGAGCTGGACCAGTTTAACCAGAGGCTGTGCCTTACTGAAAGTATCTGATAAGAACTCCAAGGGATATCATTGGTACATTTGGCCACACCATGTGTGTTAAAACACTCAGAGGTCAATAAAACATTATAACCTTGATTCTTTCCAAACATTTATGAATGGATTTCCCACCCGAGATTAGAATTGTCAAGAATTCTAAGAAAAGAATTAGGGTAAATATTTACCTTATTCTCCTAAGAAATGTTCATTGTTTTGTAAAGGAACCTTTAATCAGTTAGAATTTTCCTATAAAAATTCATGTCATCGTAACATCTATCATACTTTCTGTGGATGGATGGCTATCTCTAAACACACAATTCAACACCATGTGTTCCATAACAGATAACAACTTTTAATGCCTTCACATTGAAGAGTTCAACGTTTCATTACAGCTATGTAAGGACGAGTTATGTCCCTTTATCTTATTGGTATCATTAATAGACAGATACCACAGTCATGTTATTAAATCGGCAGATTGGTGCTTCTTTCAAAGTTAGCTTCTATGAACTTTACTTCATCGCTTGTTAAATCTTTTGATTTGGTAAAATGTCAGCTCATTCTGACAGTTTCATCAGAGACCAAAAGATCTAAAATTTTGGCTGCATTTATCATCCAAATTCATGGGGAAATACACTGGAGATTACAAGGTCACAAATTGATTATTATTTGATGTTAAAAGGAAATGAGTGCTGTAAGACCATGTTTACATATAGGGCTAAATTAAATCCAGCAATATTTCTACAGTAATGATGAGTGGACAAGGCCAGTTGTACTTTCAATTTTTTAAGGTCATACATAGTATGTGAAAGTGTATTGATGGAAGTATGTGATGTTATTTTGAATGAAATAAATGTACCATTTTAAACAAGTGTTATTATTATTTATAAAACTACAGTGTATAGTGATACTCTTACATTAGTTTTCATTGCCAATCAAACTCCATATACTGAAAGACGAATAACTATGGAACTTTTGATAGGATTTTACCAAATATTTTGGTTTGTAGCATCCCTAGGCCATTCTGATCTCCTTTGTTTCACTGGGGTGGTATAGCAATAAGCTTGATAGCCGATGTGGGATGAGAACGCTCTACACCCAAAGGGACAAAATGTCATAGATGAAGAGTTCCCGGCTGTACCCAATGATAAAATTTGATAATCTTTGAAAGTACTTAAATACATGCGAGCCAGAGTTCTACCGTCATGTGAATCTGATATATTGAGCTTGGGTATTTATTTAATGATTTCCCCAGAAGTTAGAGGGGTAGGTCCTGCTGATGGTGGGTTTAGAGGATGATATAAAGAATGAGAAATGTCTTTGTTTCACTTCATATGAACATGGGGTTTGTGAAATAATGTGCTTTCAAATAGAGGATTGTACGTAACAGTTATATTAAGTATTAAGCATCTTCATTGGTTGGTAGGAATGTAATGTTACAATCACTTATAATGTTATTCAAATTTGCTTCGTGGTTGCTATTACCTATTACTCTTTGTGGCAAGCTGTTCTTAATGTCTAGTGCTCTTCGTTGTAAGCTGTCCTTATTTTCTATTGATCTATTGGCAAATTGTTTCAATTGTCTAATGCTCTTCTGATAGACTCACTATTGTTCAGTGATCTTCGTGGTAAACTGTCATTATTGTGTAATGATCTTCATGGTAAACTGTTCCTATTGTGTAATGATCTTCATGGTAAACTGTTCCTATTGTCTGTTGCTCTTCGTGTTAAACTGTACTTATTGTGTAATGATCTTCATGGTAAACTGTTCCTATTGTCTGTTGCTCTTCGTGGTAAACTTCCTATTGTGTAATGATCTTCATGGTAAACTGTTCCTATTGTGTAATGATCTTCGTGGTAAACTGTTCATATTGTCTGTTGCTCTTCGTGGTAAACTGTTCCTATTGTGTAATGATCTTCATAGTAAACTGTTTCTATTGTGTAATGATCTTCATGGTAAACTGTTCCTGTTGTCTATTGCTCTTCGTGGTAAACTGTTCCTATTGTGTAATGATCTTCATGGTAAACTGTTCCTATTGTGTAATGATCTTCGTGGTAAACTGTTCATATTGTCTGTTGCTCTTCGTGGTAAACTGTCGTTATTGTGTAATGATCTTCACGGTAAACTGTTCCTATTGTGTAATGATCTTCACGGTAAACTGTTCCTATTGTGTAATGATCTTCACGGTAAACTGTTCCTATTGTGTAATGATCTTCACGGTAAACTGTTTCTATTGTGTAATGATCTTCATGGTAAACTGTTCCTATTGTGTAATGATCTTCATGGTAAACTGTTCCTATTGTCTATTGCTCTTCGTGGTAAACTGTTCCTATTGTGTAATGATCTTCATGGTAAACTGTTCCTATTGTCTATTGCTCTTCGTGGTAAACTGTTCCTATTGTGTAATGATCTTCATGGTAAACTGTTCCTATTGTGTAATGATCTTCATGGTAAACTGTTCCTGTTGTCTATTGCTCTTCGTGGTAAACTGTTCCTATTGTGTAATGATCTTCATGGTAAACTGTTCCTATTGTGTAATGATCTTCATGGTAAACTGTTCCTGTTGTGTAATGATCTTCATGGTAAACTGTTCCTATTGTGTAATGATCTTCATGGTAAACTGTTCCTATTGTGTAATGATCTTCATGGTAAACTGTTCCTATTGTGTAATGATCTTCATGGTAAACTGTTCCTATTGTCTATTGCTCTTCGTGGTAAACTGTTCCTATTGTGTAATGATCTTCATGGTAAACTGTTCCTATTGTGTAATGATCTTCATGGTAAACTGTTCCTATTGTGTAATGATCTTCATGGTAAACTGTTCCTATTGTCTATTGATCTTCGTGGTAAACTGTTCCTATTGTGTAATGATCTTCGTGGTAAACTGTTCATATTGTCTGTTGCTCTTCGTGGTAAGCTGTTCCTATTGTGTAATGATCTTCATGGTAAACTGTTCCTATTGTGTAATGATCTTCATGGTAAACTGTTCCTGTTGTCTATTGCTCTTCGTGGTAAACTGTTCCTATTGTGTAATGATCTTCATGGTAAACTGTTCCTATTGTGTAATGATCTTCATGGTAAACTGTTCCTATTGTCTGTTGCTCTTCGTGGTAAACTGTTCCTATTGTGTAATGATCTTCGTGGTAAACTGTTCCTATTGTCTATTGCTCTTCGTGTTAAACTGTTCCTATTGTGTAATGATCTTCGTGGGAAACTGTTCATATTGTCTGTTGCTCTTCGTGGTAAGCTGTTCCTATTGTGTAATGATCTTCATGGTAAACTGTTCCTATTGTGTAATGATCTTCACGGTAAACTGTTCCTATTGTGTAATGATCTTCATGGTAAACTGTTCCTATTGTCTATTGCTCTTCGTGGTAAACTGTTCCTATTGTGTAATCTTCGTGGTAAACTGTTCCTATTGTGTAATGATCTTCATGGTAAACTGTTCCTATTGTGTAATGATCT